TACCCAAATACCTCTCCAGTAAATGACAGTTAAAAATGTCTAAGCTAATGTCATTTACTAGAGGGGTACTTAGGTTTTGTAATAACATCTGAGAATATGCCTCTGATAAAAGCAGAAAGTGAATTGACTCTTATTGCAAATGAACTTTTAACTTTGGCTTCACAGTCACAGAATGAGATAATCTGCCATAGATCACATTTAGACTATGTGCACCAGCAGTGTAACATGCTCAGAATTGAGGATCAAATTGTGAAATACATTATGAAATATGAAATAAATACATATGTTTACACATGTATGAAATAAAAAAGAGACAAATAAAAAAAACGTTTAGTGAGTGGAAGAATTTTCTTGCCCTGTATTTTTTTTACGTGTGATGCAAAATGCTGTTTTGAATGAAATGAGGAAAATACAATGAAAACTGCAGTGCCACGTCAACCTAACATCAAAATGTTTTACAAATTTAAACTGTATTCTGGTTTTAATTTTTTCATGCCACATGATCAGCATTGGCTCTAGGCCTTGCATCTTCTTAAGCAGAAACCTCTTTCCAGGGACAGCATTGCTGGGTAATTTGAGATTCAGTTTTCTCTGTACACAGCTCTCATGGAGTCAGCTCATTTGCCATGAGCCTGAGGCTCAAGTAAAGTTCTTATATTTTTCCATGCACTTATGTTTGTGACCAGCTAACCACAGTTACCAGTTTTATAGGCTGTAGAAAATATAAAATAAGATCAGTAGTTTAAGTGGTAAAATAGCCACGGTTCCCTATATTGTGCATAAAACACCAGAGCAGGGAAATGGTTTAAATCAGTATTAGCAATGACATTAAGAACCACAATGGCATAAATATTCATTAGTTATGGTGAAGGGAGAAAACTGGGACATATAAGGTACCCTGCTTTGGGACCAGGTACTTGTGATGTTGTGGAACTGATTAATGTCTAGGATCTCTGTTGACTAGCTTCACATTTCTTGCTCCACTTTCCATATCTATGAAATGGGTAAATTGGAAGTGATGATTTGAGATTCTTTCTTAGCTTAATAATTCTCCATTTATGATAGCTTGTTTGTTAAATTGTATGACTTATTTGCAAAGTATGTATAGATTTTCCAGAAAAATATGCATGATTTACTTTTCGATGATATTTCTAATGCCAAGTTGTGACACTTAAAAATCTATAGAAAGGCAACCAACAGAATGAGAGAAAATATTTGTAAGTATGTAAAAGAAAAACCTCACTTCACTACACAAACAACCTTTTCCACACAGCTAACCCCCCCAAACCAACCAACTATCCAGCCAATCACCAACTAACCAATACTCCCCTCTGACCCTTCATCAACAAAATAATAACAAAATCACCTTACTAAGAAATAGGCTATAGCCAGGTAGTGGTAGCACCTACCTTTAACACAGCATTCAGAAGACAGAGGTAGGTGGATAGATCTCAGAATGAGTTCAAGTTCAGCCTGGCCCACAGAGTGAGTTTCAGGACAGCCAGAGATATACAGAGCAACCCTGTCTTGAAAAAACAAACCAAAACAGAGAAACAAACAAGAGATGAAAAAAGACATTTCTCAAAATATGTAAAAGGAGCCATCGAGTATATGGAAAATATTTTCAATATCACTAATCATCATGGGAATTCAAATCAAACTTAAAGTGATATCAGTCCAATTAGAAAGACATCCAAAATGCAAAACAAGTGTTAATGACTATATAGTGAACAGTGAACCCTTACATACTATTGCTGAGAAATCCAATGGATACAAATGCTATGAAGAATAGTATAATGGCCCTAAAGAATTTGAAAATGGATATAGCAAGCCCATCCCTGGGTATATTCTGAAAAAATGTAGTTAATGTCTTAACAACAATAGTTATACTCTCAATGTCACTGCAACCCTGTGCATAACAGGCAAGCCATGGAGTCAACCAGTGTCCTGTGGGTGAGTGAAGGAATAAAATGCAGTATATGAGAATATATGACATCATGGATAAATCTTTTAAAGGTAAGCCATCCTAGCAGCTTTCACTAATATTCTTAATACACACAGCAGCTTTGTTTGGGATGTCAATTTTCCTTGTTTGAGTATGGGCTTTTAGGAGAGCCTTTTGCATGGCAAATACAGGAATCGGTGAGCACTCAGCTGCTGCCTGCATTTACCTGTGGACATAAAAATTAATGAAGGGAAAATAATTATTATGTATTTTTTCTCTTTCTTTTTGATGTGTGCACACAGATGATACTTATAAACAGTGTGTTCCATGAAACAATCCAAGTACAACTGTATGAATATTCCATGATTTAATTTCTGAGTGGAATCCAAAACAGTCACACGTTTTTAAAACCAGAATGGGACTAGAGGCAGGGGGTATGGGAATGGAGAAATGTCAATCATTGGCTTTAGGTCTCAGTTATGAAGGATGGACAAAGTCTTCAGCTCTAACACAGCATGTTGACTCTAGTTGGTACTGTATTGGGTATTTGAACATTATAAGATTAGATATTAAAAGTTTTCATAGCACCCAAATAGCAATTCTATGAGGTGATGAATAAATTAACTAGCTTGATTGGGATAATATTTTATAATGTACTCACATCTTATCAAACAATTATGCTGCCTACCTTAAATATATGCATGCTTATTTGCCAAATACACCTTAATAAAATCAGATGACAACCATTTTAATTTTCTATCATTTTGTAGTTTTGACCTAAAGATCATCAATGACGTCCTGCTTTTCATATGTGTTTAAGGACTATCCCCAAGAGTAAGATGTGTTGATGCTGTCTGTATCACAGTACAAGCTACAGCTTGGTAACTGATAAAAGGCTGGGAGGAAATCTGGAGAGGAGGCTGGCATTAGTCATTTTATATATGAGATGGTGGCAAAATATTCCAGCTGAGATGCAGTGAAGATAATGAGAAATACACAAAAAGGAATGAGTATTTTACATTTTATTCAGATTATGGGTTTGAAACAGCCAACACATTATAATATGAAGGAAGTAAAATGCTATTGTCAAACTAAATTTCCTGTACCCTCATTTTTCATCTCTGCAAGGGCATCGCTTTCATTTTATCTTAAGCAGGGGACAGCATGGAAAAGCCTTCATTTGAGATGTGTCCATCAGGGTGATGCCACATTTCTCTGACTCCAGATATTGCTGGTCTAAGTTTTCTCCGTTTAAAAATCTTAACATATAAGGTATGTGCATACATGCACGAGAACAAATCTAAATTCACATTCACAGATGTCTGTAGATGTTCATTATCCCAGAAGCGAGTTGCATTTATTACTTTTCCCCACGCTTGTTCTCAGATTTTATTTTTTTGTCAAGGTGTATTTCTTGGGATTTTACCTGGGCACGAAAGCATGAAATGAGTTTCTCATTGCATCTGCCTAATGTCAGGAGTGCTTGCAGCTTGATATCACTGATTAGCAACAGTCCCCACTCCAGAGACTAGAAGTGGATATTCTATATGCCACCTGTGATTCCCTCATTCCACCTGCTGCCTGGAGTGCTGCACACTGACACATCATTGCTGAGTCCCTCAGGCATCCTTCTTGACCCATGTTCATCATCTCCCAAGGGCGGTTCATGTCCAGCAGTAGGTCATTGTTATAGACTAAAGGTCTGATTCCCCTGCCACAAGTACAAACAGCATGGGTGCGTTTTTCTTACTTCAGGAGGTCCCTGAGTATTTACTAAAATTTGACTATGATCATGGTCAGAATCACCTCAGTTTGTTTCTTCTCACTCTGACTCCCATCCTATCTCATAGGTGCTAACTCTCCAGTAAGCCTGCTTTTTGCTAATGTCAGCTTCAGAGTCTGTCTCCTTGGAACAGAGAACATACAGGGCAATTTCCCACTTAATGGTATGGAAGTCTTCAGTGTCTACATGGGGTCATCATGCAAGGAAAGAGAGAGGAGATGACTTCATGGCAACAGGAGGTAACTACTGAGGTAACTACTTTGGCAGAATGAGGAAGCAGAGGGCTTGGGATGAATCTAGGGCTGAGCTTTAAGTCACAAGACTATGTCTGCTAGCTAGGTTTCTTGTCCAAAAACTCCCCCAATTTCCCACAGTGTTGCCATCTGGGAACCAACTGTTCAAACACATGAGTCTGTGGGGGACAGTTCATATACAAACTGTGACAGTCACAGAATGCATACATATTGGTATTTTTTGGTGATGAAATTTTTTAATTCTTCATTGCTACAATTTAGGTCACAATCATGAAAACAAAACAAAATAAAACTGAAACTATCAAAGCTTAGATTTGTCTAGTTCATCCCAGATTAAGCATTCATACCCCATGTTTTATTGGGAAAGCCTATTGTCTTCTGTTTGTCAGTGAACTTTTGTCCACTTTTAATCATGTCCAAAGAGGCATTTGATTAACATTGCTAATATTTCTTTTTAAAAAATACTTTAGATTTTTAGCACTAAGATCTATATGAATTAGAAATTATTTTAGCAAATAAACTAGACTTTATGTTTAAAAGGTACTCAGAAATTTTGGCTGACACACACACACACCCATAAATTTGTGCTCATGCGCATGCAGACACACACACACACACACACACACACACTCACACACTCCATGCAATGTTGTTTATATGAGATACAGTGTTGCTTTTACTTTCCTGGTAAGTATGGAATTCAAAGATTTGTGATATTTTTCTATGGAAAGAAATCATGAATCAGAAGAACTGAAATCAATACGCACTTTAAAATGTGGTTTGACTGCTGCTCCCCAAATTTTATGCATTGAATGAAGCACTTGACATTTTTTCATTTGGCATATTCCACGTGTAAGGTGTGCAATGCTCAGTAAGTTGTTTTAATGGATAGCTTATGAAAAGCAAGCCTTCTGTATGATTTGTCAGGACAAGAGTTATGGCACAGTTCACATTGGTCAAGGACACTAGCATTAACCTAAAGCCTTCTCTGCTGTTGTGGACTTAGTTGCAAGGCACTATGGCCACAGTGTGGGAAAAAGAGACAGTGAGCAAACAGCGTGTGAGGTACCGGCATTATTTGCAAAGTTCAGTAAGGACCTTGTAAACACAATTTACTGGGTTCTTAAAACTTTTCTTGGAAACACATTCATTCCTCGGTGTTCCTGCTTAGATGTCAGATATAGGGGACATAATTTAGAATGTTCTGGAATCATGCATTGTTTATCCTCTCTAGGTTGGTGACCTTTTCTCTCCTGGGCTAGTTCCAGCTAGTCTGATAGAGCCAATGAGGGAAATGTAAACATAAATCACACTAACACTGAGAACACATGTTGGAAGAGCTGAATAAAGTGCAATGAATGTGGAGAATCAGGTTGCTGCTGCACTGTGGATTCACTGTTCTTAATTTGGTCACTGGGTGTGTGGTCTTAATCGGTCTTCATGAGATGAGTTTTCTGAATTGAGTGAATTGAGTGGTTATTACTGTTTTATAGTGTCATCTTTTTTCTTTTCTTTCTTTTCCTTCCTTTTTTCTTTCTCTATTCTTTTTTTTTTTTTTTGCTTTAAAAAGTTTGTGAGTGTTGGGTGTTGGTGACCCATGCCTTTATTCCCAGCACTTAGGAGGCAGAGGCAGGCAGATCTCTGTTAGTTCAAGGCCAGCCTGGTCTACAGAGGACAGCCAAGTTTATACAGAGAAACTTTGTCTCAAAAAAGTTTGTGGGTTACAAAAAATGAATGAGAACTATGAATATAAAATTAAAACATAACATAACCTAATTCATAGGTATAACATTATTTTGGGAATTGCTGGGATAAACTGCTTCACTTACATAGAAAGTCTCCAGAAAGGTTGCTAGTTGTAACATCGGTTTAAATTATTTATCAGAGTCCTTTTTGCATATGGCAATTCACAAGTCATTAATATCTGTAAGAAAGTAAGACTTAAATATAGGTCATAGTTTTGCTGTGAAAAAAATGCTAACCTGTATTTTAGGTTTCTTTTTTTTTAATATTTTTCTTAAAAATTTATTTTTATTTTTGAGAAGTTCATATAGTATTCTGTATTTGCATCATATCCATATCTACTTTTTCGCTCTCCCACCATTCTGTCTCCACCCTCTTGAAATCATGACCTCTTCCTCTATATCATTGTTTTACACGCACACACTCACACACACACACACACACGTACACATACATACACATATACATATATACACACATACATATATACACATATACACACACTTACACACACACCCTACTGCATCCTGTTAGTGTTGCCTGTGTGTACAGGTGTTTAGGACTGTACACATGGCATCAGGAAAACTACTGGAAGGGCTTATTATGGGAGAAAAGAGAGTATCCCTCCCTCCACAGCTGGCCATAATACCTTGAAATGATTTTATTTTACAAACTAAACACAAGACTATACCATCCATCACTTTAAAAGTTGGTACATTGTGGAGACAACCTGCACCTCTTAAAATTTCTTCTGTGGTAAGAAAAGCAAGACGACTAAGCTTTCCAGTGTTTAAAGATCCATGACAATTAAATTTCCAGTCACATAACTTTCTGAAGCAAAATAAACTCTTTCTTGCTCAGCTTCCTAATGAAGCAACAGGTACTTTGGGACAAGTGTTTGTGGTTTTAAGGCCATGTTCTGGGATTCCAGAATGGATGGAGGAGTAAACAAATGGGGCCTCTGGGCTCTGCCCTTGTTTTTCCCAGGAACTTGCTCTCATTTGGCAGCCTCAGTAGAGCTTTGGGAAAAGAGTTGTGCTGAGTTGGAGAAGCACCCCTCCTTTTTCCCTCCACCCCAGAAGAGTGTGCTGTTTGCTTCTGTGCTGGGCAATAAGGGCAAACACATATAAGAAATAAGGGCCCTGTATGAAAAGGACATGTTATAAATGTATTTAAGCCATGTTCCCTTAACATGCCTCTAGGTTTCCAGTTTAGAATTTCATGTAGGACCTTGCTCCATCCAGCCACTCAGTATCTACAAAGTGTCCTATTAGATAATATGGCTTGAAATTCTTCACTGTTCTCTGCTATCTACTCAAGGTTTTGATGGAGCAGGCCTGGCTGACGTCTGAAATGATTTCGTTATCAATAACTGTTTCTGATTTTCCATTTGTTCTTAGTCACCTTTGAGAATTTCTGTTTTATGTAAAAATAATCATCGTTGAAATTCCTACTTATTATCACACTGTGAGTAACAGAAATCATCAGAAATCATGTCTACTTTTCTCCCTTTTGGCTAGTGGTCCACTAAGTGGATGTGTCAAATATGGAGCAGTAAGTTGGGTCTATATGCCAGTGTCACTTGTAAAGCCTTGTCTTGTACAGATTGACAATACATAGCAGTTGTTGGGTATTGCTGTTAAATAAGGTTCAGGATAAACAAATAGGCCAAACAGATGTTTATTCAGGGAGAAATAACTTACAACCTAGACAGATGAACACCACCAAGTTCCACCAGATGCTCTCCTGTCTGAGTCCTGCCAGCAAGAGAGCTTTTCCCAGCTCTTCCTCAGACCTCCTTCCACAGGTCATTTCCGCCCATGGCTCCACCCCCAATGGGCGTGGTCAGTGCCACAGAAGGACTATCTCACTACAGTTGGGTGCCAATGCTTTTCATATATTTTTCTCCAACTTTTGTAATGATACCTTGAGAATATTCTTGGGACCACTTACAGAAGAGAAAACCAGGGCTTAATCAATATTTCATTTCTAACTGGATTATATTCTTCTCTGACTCCTTCCTTATTCTTGTATTGTTACTTTTGAATATCTCTAGAACAACAGAAAAGGTATTATGGCAGATTTTATCAGCAAACACACACACACACACACACATACACACACACACACACACACACACACACAGGTTTCTCTGGTACCAAATAACTTTCCTTCGATCATTGCTTTATTGTTTCATTCATGTGTAAAAGCACACTGAAACCAAACTAAGGTTGTCTACAACATTAGATTGCAGTCCATTCTTTCAGCTCCTCAGATCCCAGGTCCAGCAGACAAGATCTGCAAAGGTCAGTGAACATCCACCTGAATGTTGTTTGTGGGAGAACAAAGAATGAGGGCAACAATGTCAGAACAAACATTTCCTGGGGGCTTAGTTTATGACAGATCTTTTTTTAAGATATTGCTTAAAGAGCTTATTTCATCTTTGCAAAATAGATATTTTTATTGTCTTTTTTATAGAGCATATACACAGGATTGCTCTGTGACTTGCTTAAGGCTACACAACCAATGAGGCTTTGAGCCATTATCATAACCCAAGATATCTGGATTCAAAAGTTAATAGACACAAATATATATTTTTTATGTGGCCGAGTTTTCAGTCCACTTTAGTCACAAACCAAACATGCATGATAATAAGGTTCCAAAACCCATAGAAAGTATGGATTACTAGCATACCCAAGAAAGGTATTCAAGGAAAGAGGATACCTCTGTGTATCTCATGAGGCATTTTCTTGAGGTGTGTGATGTTCTAATTAAGATATATTCAGTTCCTTCAGGAAATCCTACATTTCTGACATTTGTAATCTCAAAAAGCCAAACATCAAAGTTACATACAAACTCAGAATAGAATAGAATAGAATATCTGATAGAACACAATTGACTTATTTGTCATAATTTTTCTGTTAATAGTCTAGATGAATGTCTGGAATGTTTTGTAATACTTACGTTTTAATGACAAACTTCCTAGTAATAATTTGCTCACAAAAGTCTCCCAGATAATATAAGAGCATAGATTAAAGTGGAATGCTGTTTAGAGATTGTGAAAACTCCCACCCCTTTATGCACAGGTGTTGTTGATATTTATGGGGCATCTGCATATTGACACCTTTGCCATGAGGTGCAGCATTTCAGTCTAGCCACATTCTCCGTTAGTATCTTACAGGCACTGTGGATGAACTGCTTAGCATATTACAACCAACCCATTTGTGAGAGGAACTCAGGCATTCAGGAAAGGAGAAAGAAAGAACTGGTTTTGAATCTGGTTTGAACAGTAGGCTGTCTGTTTCTAAACTAAATCTATCCGTTATTTTCAGAATAGTATCCATATAGGTTGCTGGCAATATGGTTGCCTACTGATTGAATTATCTACTGATGCTACTAGATTTATTTCTCTCTTTTAGGAACTTAGTTGATCCTGAAATTCTCTTAATTTCAGACATTAGAGATAATATGTAATGTCACTTTCAAGTTAGCTGCCCTCATGTCCTCTGTTCTAAAATGAGGTGCATGGACATGTCTGCTTTATACTCCTTATTTAAAGATACTGAAAGATAAAAAAATACTAACATCATCTGGCTGGTTGCTGTTTTATATCTCTTCATCATAAGAATGCTCTATGTACTATTTGATTTCATGAACTATTATTTGATTTTATAAGACTAATTATTTGATTGTATAAAATATGTGCTTTTTATTTAAAATTCAATTAGAATTTTCTAAGATACCTTAAAACTGAATTAGAAAAGAAACATGTTAATAAAGATATGAGATGGGTTCGAAAAATATGAAATAAATGTCAAGCAATATAAACGCTCATGATTTAAAAGTGGTGCCAAAAACCCCAGTTATGCAACTGGAAATTTTAGTTATGATGTTCTAGGTCCCAATACAATTTGTAGAAGATTTTGTATTGAAGGTTGATTTCAAATTATTCTAATTCTTACTTTAAAGGAGCTTGTGCTTGATATTACTACAGATTACTTTGTGTTTATTGATATTATCAACTTCCCTTTATTAACTACCCACAAAAAATATTTTGTTGGACACAGGATATCTAAGACACGGGGTAGAGACTGTATGCTATTTACAGAATACATCTGTAGTTTTTGAAAGCACTGCTAGACCCCATTACTTGGCCTTTCTTGGCATTCAATACGTACCTCTGACTGGCTACAGCCAACAGAATATAGATGGAGCTGATACTGTTGGTGGGGCAAGCCCCAAACATCTGGAATAAATTTCTTTGTCTTACTTGAAAATCTACAGGGAGATCCAGGTGCTCTTGAGTTTATTAGGGCTTGTGG